CAAATAGGTTTGTAACTTACCAAAGGCATATAATCTGCTCGTGGACAATTTGTAAACCAAAACCAATGGATAAATTGTGCACAACAAAGAGCTCAATCAGCTTTAGTTATAACATCTGCTGGGATTTATGAGACAATGCTTATGGCATAGATGCATAATTTATGACAGAAATGGTTTTCTGTTCCTATATTGAAACTCTGTTATTTGTGTGACTATCTAAAAATTAAAGGAATGTAACCAGGGGGCAGGGGGCAGGGAGGGAGGGGGGAATAGGGGAGAAGCAATTATAGAGCTTGAGAGAAGGAAAAGTTGTTGAAATGACCACATATTCCCAGTGCAGTTGAGATAGTGGTTTATTTAAAAATCAAAACATCTGAATCTTGTTTTCTGGTTGGACATTGTCAGCAAATTATATTGAAACTGGTTCTAAAAGTTTAAAAAGAAAATGTGGGGAAAAATACTTCAGAAAGAGCAGAGACATTTTAGGCTAAATATAGGCTATACTGGGCAACCTTTACATTGCAGATACTCACATGGGTAGGCATATTGAATTTGGTGAGTAAACTAATGTGAATACACCCCAATAACATAAGCATTAGTGAGGTCCTATCAGATGCACATCAGCGAATGCAGAACTCTACTGATTAAAATAAAATGTACTATGGTCCAGTTTTGCTTCCAAACCACCCTTAATCAGGTTGAATGAGTATAAGGTGTAGCTCAGCAGTGGCAAAATCAGGTCCTAAATCCTAAGAATAGGGAGGCTTTTTCCATACATGAGCAGATGAATGGAATTTCAGTGCTTCTTTAAGTGTTTCTCCAGAAACTTGTAAAATCCTTCAGAATTCACATTAAATGAAAAAATAAGACTCGAGGCAGCGGACCCATGTTATGCCCTGTTTTACATCTCTATAAATGTTCAGTGGTTCTGAGCAAGGTATATATCCAGACAGAATTTGGCCCATTGTTAAAAAAAATTCAGGTGAAATCCTGACTCCACTGAAATCAATGGGAGTTTTGCAATGACTTTAGTCAGGATTTGACCTTAGGAATATGAGGTACAAAATCACTTAAATATTAATGAAGAATGCATCTGTGCAGGGAAATATAGAATCATGATGCACATTAAGGCATAATTTACAAATACAACCCTTAATGCTTCTTAAAATATTATTACAAAAAATTGCAGTTTATTGGGGTAGTATTATTCAGTATTATTTAGTATCTTGCTCCTATTCAAATTATTGGAAAAACTCCCACTGAGTTGACTGATGCAGACTCAAGCCTTTGGTTTCCAACCACTTCAGAAAGTTTTAATTCAAAATATGCTCGCTTGAAATAGGTATCAAACTGCATACAAGTTTGGATATATATCACATGGGATTAGCAAAATATAGTGAGATAATGTTATAAAGTTCAAATATGACAGAATACAATTTGTCAAAACAAAAACCTCTTTTTTTGAGTCAAAATTGTATAAAAATAAAATTCAGTTTCAAATATTTGTATTTGAAAAAGTGGGACATTTTAATGGCAATAGCTTATTAGTTTAAGATCTTTAGCAAAAATGAGAATATTTTGGAATACAATTTTCCTTTATCCTGCCCAGGAGATATTGCATACTGGGAAATGTTCTCATAATATTCTAAGCCCTCTTTCTTTCTAAAGTTACTGAGTGCCCATAATTACACATTGTTTGCAGTGTTGTTGTGGCTGTGTTGGTCCTAGGATCTGAGACAAGGTGAGTGAGGTAATATCTTTTATTCGACCAACTTCTATCAGTGAAAGAGACAAGCTTTTGAGTTTAAACAGCCCAGGCTTGAAGAAGAGCTCTGTGTAAGCTATAAAGCTTGTTTCTTTCACGAGCAGAAGTTGGTCGAATAAAAGATATTACCTCACCCATCTTTTCTCCATAACGACTCATGTTTTTCTAATATCAGCAGCATATTAATTCAGAAGTTAGGATTATGAAAAGGAAAAAAAACAGATAATCTGTACTTCATGGTAAAACAAGACATGCTTGGTTGTAAACATATCAGATCAAATCAAATATTCATTTTTTACATATTTTGTTCAATTTATTAATAATCTTTTATATATATTTATGGCTTTGAGCAAAGACAAAAGAAAAAAATCTAACTCGTCCCTGATCATACAGTCATTGTAAGAATCAGTTAAACTATTGTCTTCCCAGCAGCAGTAAGATCCAACTTTTTCGTTAATACATTTCATCCTGTACAGATGTGAGATTCCATACATATGGGCTTATTTATGTACAGAGAAAATAGGTCAATTCTGGAACTAGCAATGAACATTTATATTACAGGAATGTGAGTCATTTGTTTCTTAACCTAAGTATATATACATTCATACATATATATATATATATAATGTATATAATTGTATACCCTGTACCATTTTTATTGAATTAACATACAAATCCTAGATTTTGTCCACTCTATTACAAAGTCATTAAAAAGATTTTTTTATGGTTTCACTGAAAGACCATGTGAGTTAATGTTTCTTCATAGTGCTTAAAATAAAATAATATATATATATAAAAATATTTCACTACTAACCCCATTATACCTATTAAATGTAAACCTTAAATAGTGTCAAGGATCAGAATATGATCTTAATAAATTCGATCTAATTTATTATAAGTATTAAAATAAAATAAGGGACATTGTACTGATAAATAAATGGTCTTGCAGCGTATCCATAATGCTTCAAACATTTTTAACAATTGCTTCCTTGTACACTATTCCTGACCACTCCAATTAATAATGTCAGCAGCATGTTAATGGGATAATTACATTGATTTGTACTGGTGAGTGGGAGTTGGCAAAAATTGCAAAAAGTTTTATTTTTTTAAAATTTGATGTACCCAATTAAGTAAAAAGGCATAACAGGCAGCATGGGTTCAAGCTCCGTTAGCCTTAGACAATTTACTTGGCTCTCACGTATATGTGGATGTACTGCAATACGTAGTTTGTGATGTTATTTAATTCTATCACTGATCATTAAGGCCAGCATTAATGGCAAAAACGCCTCCTCTGAATTCATTCCTTTCACATGGTTAGCTTGCTTTTTCTTAAGGAATATGATATATGCTTTGTATTATAGTTAATAATGCTGTTTTATCAATAAAAGTTTAATTATGACATATTCAGTTTCAATTTCTATTTTACTGTGACACATCAGGCACAAATGATTATTAAAGAACTTCTTTTGTGGAGATGCTGTCTAATCACAAGATAATGTGAAGATCTCAGCAAACGAAAGAAAACGTTCACAAAACAGTATGCTTTAACCCTGCTTTCTGTCACCTTTTCCCTTCTATTTTTAAAGACTTTAAAAAAATAAACCTCGTATCTATGGGCTATGTTTGACACTACATGCCATAGGATATACTATCCATTTAATTACAATATACACAGACCAAATCGTGCAATCCCAGACAGACTTGATGCTATATTCTATTTATTTCTTTTAAATTAACACCACAGTCAACTACAAAACTACAGTGAAGACACAGAAAGCACCTGAAAATCTAAATTAAGCTGTGGTTTACGAATAATCCTTTAAATGAAAAACCTCACTTCTAGCCTTAAAACAGAGATTCAAAGTCAGCATTATAGGAAATTTTAAGGTAGACACAATTAATGAATGTTTATCATTTTCTAAAGACAAAGAGATACTGTAAGCCTTTTCCTACAATGGCTGACTGAACTTATATTGTTTTTTATTTATTTATTTTTAAAAAGCATGCATGGAATATTTTCAGATGTTGTTTAGGGCAAGGAGGAAAAGTGATGGCATTGGTGAAGTACAAGTAGTTTGCAGGATCAAGCGTACAATTTTGCATAAAAACAGTGCATGTAAAAGTAACATTGCCATTGTAGGTTGCCATTGCATTACAATTTAACAGTTGTGTTGCTCTTAGATTTAATACATTTTAAAACGGTAAGTTAGGAAGTGAAGAGCTGAAACTAAATTCCTAAACAAAGACCTTGCAATGATACACCACACAGCAGCTATTTTTGTTTGGGTCTAAAAAGTTTTTTACAATGACAATATTTATAGTTTTCATAAAAGTCTTTTGCAATATGAAGATAGAAGTCCACCCAGTTTTCTGAAATAACAGAATGATTTACATGTTTTGAGATTACAATTATCCAGAGCAATGATAATGCTAGTTCTTCTACTGCAGACAGCTGGAGTATATTTCTTCTTCAATCTAATTCTCAATGGAAAGCACTAAAATGAAATTTGGACCAATAAAATGGGAGATTATGATTGATTTTTCATGATAAATGATTTACAATTTTTATACAGAAATGCAATTAATGAAAGTTAAAAGTTATTATTCAATAGGTGCTATTTCCTAGCTAGCTTGAGGGATTTTTTTTAAGTTTATTTCCTGGAATAAATAATACTGTCATTTAACATATAAAGTGTATTATCATTGGGTTGTTTTTGTCTCTCCTCCCCCACCCCCACCCCCGAAAATAGGACATCTCTTCAGAAGTAGAGAAATATGCTAGACTAATTTTAAAGTCAACACACATTACAAATAAATAATATTACAACAAAATTTAGCCTCCTTTAATGAAAAAAAGACAAATTCTAACCAAGTCTTTTAAATTCCTTTTTGGATCTATACTTTTTATTTGTTATGAAGGGCAGAGCTGTCTAAAATATTTTGTTTCATGGTAGGCTGCCAGGGTCTATCAGGAAACAGGCTAAAATAGTTTCTGGGATGTTCTCAGTTTATTAAAATGTCTTTGCTTTTCACAGTTAACAAGGATCATAAGTTTGAAGCAAATCGCGGTTTGTCTCCTTCTTGGTCTGTGTTTAAGACTGTGGAAGAATCCCTTTGTAGAACAGCTGTTGGTGGTGGGGCCCCTCGGTTAGGAGGAATTGCTCCTGAAGACATCTGACGGAAGAGAGCAACTCTCTGAGGGACTGTACCTCTGTTCCCAACCTGCATACCTGGACCTTGGACACTAGAGACGGGTTGTGGAATTGAGGCTAGAGACTCTCCCACCGTTGGATGAGGTCTAGAAATCAAAGTGGAAATCTCATGGGGCAAAGAAGGCTGTGAGGCAGAGAGAGGCCTCACTTCTCTTGTCAGGTTAGTGTTGTGAAGGGCTTGTGTACTCTTGTGAACTTCATTTTTCTGCGATGAACTAGGTGTCTGCTGCTGCTGCTGCTGCTGCATCAGTGACAACTGTGAAGCAGTTGGGGATGCATACTGAAAAGTTCGACCTGCCAGAGGGCTCTGTACTGGCGGACTACAGACTGCAGTAGTATAAGAGCAAGGAGAGAGAATGACAGCTTGCTGGGGCATCTGTGTGCTCGGTGTTGGAGAATGCAAGTTTCCATGAGATAGGCTGGTTGCAGTATACACAGGAGGAGACTGTGTCCTGATTCGCGATGATGATGCAGTGGTTGAAGAGCTAGAATTCAGTGCTGGCATTTGCTGTAGACTAACTGGGGCAATAGCCTGCACCATCTCTCTGTCATGTTTTACTATCTGCTTCAAGATCTCATTCTCCTGATTGTTGAAAACTCCAGTATTGAGATCTTTCTGGAACTTCTGCAGGAGAAGTGAATTCTTCTTTCCTTTAGAAAGAAAGGGGTACAAGAGCAGATGGGTTAGCACGTCTGGTGCCCAGTAACAGATTCTCACACTCACAGTGTGAGTGCATGCAAGGTGTCTTAAGACCATGATAAAACACGAAGTCCATTATCAGTCATGCAGTACAGCTCACATCCTGGGTGTCAGACAGCCTACATACTAGTGCTCTAATGATCTTCCTAGGGGGTGAGGGATGAAAGAATTCTTCTTTCCTAGCTCTCATATTGCGCACACAACCCAGATCAACTGACTCTGCTACACACCCCACATGCTCTGTAGCTGAACTGCCTGTCTTAACGACCCTGTACATTGAATGATACGTGAACTTTCTGTAGCAGCATGGTACCTCTTTTCTTATAATGCACCATTATTATTAAAATTATTCTGAACATGTAACCATGAAAATTTACCAAACAACAGGGGGTGGGAAAAGCGACTAGACTAACTGTAAAAAATTCATCTCTCTCTTTATCAAGCTGTCCTAATTTCCTGAATATAAACTGTTACATAAGTTATAAATATATCTGCCATTTAGCACATTTCCTGGAACTAATTATTAGACATTTGTAACTAGTGACTACCAGACGGAGAGACGTAATCTCTCTAAATATCTGTGACCTAATATAAACTCACTGCTTATGTGGTACCTGGTTGTGTAATGACCACTGTAAATTGAATACCTGGGATCTCTCAAAGGTTATGGTTTGACTAATAACTGTCAGTGTTCTGCCCATCTGTGAAGGTGCAGGCGGGCAATATTTCTCTGTGGGTCAATTGAATCAGACATACAAGAATAACAAAAAAAAATTGATCTTATTTTTATATGAGAATTTGTACTATTTTTGTCATCTGTAGATTCCTATTAATAGAAACTCTATTAAATACTACCATTAATAATATTTATTATTTGTTAAGCATTGACCACATGCTTAGTTCTGTGCAAGATGCAAACAAAGATATGATCCCAGAACAAAAGAACTTGCAGCATCTTGATTTGCTAACTCAGTGCACCACATTCTCAACAGCTGGTGTCCCTTTTTATGTCTCAAAAAGGTTTGCACAAATATTTTTAAATGTATTTGCTGAATAAATGTTAGCAAAGGTTTGTTATAAATATTGAATTATTTGCCTGTTTTTCATAGTAAATTTTAAGCAGTGTACACCTTCTTCTATGCTGCTTCTTGTGCCCCTATGACTAACATACTTCAATCTCCCTATAATCTCCGCTTGAAGAAACTGTTAAAACTAAATCACTTTGGTGAAGTGTTTAAACTCTAGCGGCAACACCTTACTGAGTGAAAATTCTGTCTCTCTGTTCCGTTAGGGTCTGATCCTGGAAGGTACTTGTGGGAGTTCAAAGTGTCCAGCATCTTGCAGGAGTCACAGATTTTAAAGCGAGAAGGAACCACTGTGATGATCTAGTCTGATCTCCATCATAACAAAGGCCAAATAACTTCTGTATTAAGCCCACAACCACTAGTTGAACTAGAGCATAACTTTGAGAAACAAACCCAATCTTGATTTAAAGATTTCAAGTGGCGGAGACTCTACCTCATCACTTTGTCTTTCACTTGGACATCTTAGACCTGATTTTCTGAACATCAGCAGATTCCAGCGATTTCAATTCAAGTTGCAGATGCTCAGCACCTTTGGAAATCAAATCCATAGCAACCAGCTTGTGAGGTAAATGAGGGCTTCAAGCAAAGCACAGAGTGGCTTCAACTCCCATTGGCTTTTGTGGGTGTTGAAAGCACTCAGCTCCTCCCAGCATTGGTTTCTTTGACTATAAACTATATGGGCCAGGGAAATATTATCTATTTTTCACTAACCTATAGCAATGAACAATGTGTTGCATATTAACATCACTATGCATGATTAATAAATAACAGTCTTGATACTTAAGGTATAGAAAATAAACCCCAGAACTTCTTGTCTTACCACATTTCTTATTCATAAGACAACAGAATATTCCTGCAGTGGAAAAGTAAGGTAATTTTTTTTAAAAAAGGGTTTAATTTTGGAATATTAGATTTCCACTCAGAAAAAAAGTTAATGTTTTAAGAATAAAGTCAAATATCAAAGAAAATAATACCTATTCTGTCTAGTCTGTCAATGGCCACCGTTTCAAAGGCCCTTCTCATCATGGGGTACTCCTCTAGAACCTCGTTGAAATTGTCCACGGAGAGGGAATAGAGACGGCAGTACGTATCGGCTCTGACGCTGGCGGTGCGGCGGCCCTTAGTCAAAAGGCAAATCTCTGGGGAAAGGGGAAAAACACACAAACACAAACACACACACACAGAGGAAATGAAAAGGTCAGTGAACCATGTGAAACTTCACAGCTAGAAAGTGATTTAGTGCTAACAAATAATAATTCAGTACACAACACCATTTTTGCTGCTGCTGCTCATTAAGGTTCCCGGGGTAATTCTGACAGAGTCTGGTTCTCTTCAAGAAACTAAAGGAAATCAGTTTGGTTTAAAGGCAATGATTTCTGCTTAGTTTTTCTAAATATATACACATAACAATTAGTTAAATTTTTAAATGATTTTTCTTAAGATGCCTGAAATAATCTATCCAGTTTCAAACTTATCTTGCTGATCTGACTCATCCAAGAAGTTCTGTTGATGTTAGTAGGAATAGTCAGGTGAGTGGAGGGACTGGGTCAATATTCCAACAAGTTTGGTAACACAATTTGATGCTTATAATGAAAATAATATCAATATAATAATAAATTATAATATTATAATAAATAATATTAATAACAGTTATTAGAGATACAACTTCCTAATATTAACATGGGGAAACATTTGGGATATTAATTAACATTTTACTACTTTTCCTATTAAGGCTACATAGTAAATCTAAAGCATCTGTGATAGTAGATTCATACTGGATAACAAGAGCCTCAGTCCTGCAACTGGCTCCACGTGGGTAGACCCCTGAATCCACAAATGCATGCAGTTGCTGGATAAGGGCCAAAGTTACCTTCAGATACCATACCTGTGCAAGAACATAACAGGGCCCGGCTCAGGCAAGGCTCCCCACTGAAGTCACCAAAAGTGTCCAGTACACACGTGGGTATAGATATTACTCTCACATACGTTAATGCTTTAAATTGACACTATAGAAGAATATTGTTAATTTGAAATTTGCTAATATTTATACCCCATCATTTGCTTTGCCCCAGTCTTTTCCCCCTGCTCAATGAAGATGCGTTAGTGAAGTTTTGTAGTACATAATTTGTAATGCAACAGAACATTAACTACTACATATTATATAGCGCTAATTAGGAATATTTCAACAAAGAATTTTTTGCCAGAAAGTCTAAACCGAAAGTATTCATGGGAAAGGGTCAGTGCTGACAAATTTCCTGGTTTAAATTTTTTTGAAACAAAATGTTCTGCTTTTTTGGGTCAAAATGTCTTTTTGTTTCAAAATTTAAGCTAATTTACAGCAAAAGAAATGTTTCACTTTCAATCTTTTTATTTTACAAAACATTTCAAAAATTATCAAAATGAAACATTTCAGCTGAGCTGTTCTGACTTTTTCGGAGATTTTTGGTTCGGAAAAATTGTCAAGATTTTTACTGTGTCCCATTTCAGGGCAAGAAAAAAATGTTGAAATCTCAAAACACTCACATTATGGGAAACCTGTTTCCTGCCAGCTATAGTATCATAACAAATGTTAAAAACTAAATTACAAATAGATGAACAAAGCATATTGGGTAGGATGACCATATTTCCCTATGCTGAATGCAGAATGCCTGGTAAAATTACTGGTATTCAAGTGAGTTCAACAGCAATCAATCAGAACTATGCAGTACAAACAAGTCAAATTAACATCAGGTTGACTGAGCCCCTGTTAAAAAGAAATACTGCATAGTTGGATTCTTTTTATTTACCTGTGGGCTAGGGGAGAGGGATAGCTCAGTGGTTTGAACATTGGCCTGTTAAACCCAGGGTTGTGAGCTCAATCCTTGAGGGGGGCATTTAGGGATCTGGGGTAAAATCAGTACTTGGTCCAGCTAGTGAAGACAGTAGGCTGGACTCAATGACCTTTTGGGGTCCCTTCCAGCTCTATGAGATAGTATATCTCCATATATTATTATTATTATTACCTTCTTATCTTTAAGGCTTTAGAGTTCACATGGGGAGGGGTGACACACACACATTCCCATATACCTCTCTCACACAGGGGGGAATGACTAACTGACCCAACCCTCCCTGCCCAGCGCTCTCCGCTCTCCATGCTGGGCTGGGCCCCCAGGATGGACCTGCCTCTCCAGGTACCTGGCACTGCGTCTGTCTGAGGCAATACATGGGTGGGGGGGGGGCATGCAGGGTCACATACCCTCCCCCGCCCCAGATTTCTGCCAGGGTTTACACCAGAATGTGGCCAGCAGCAGCCTTTTGGCACTGGGTGGAGGGAAGGGACAGGAACTGCTTCCAGCAGCAGGGGAAGGGGTGACTTGGCCCGTGTCTTTGCAGAGCTCATCTCTTCCCCCACCATCCCCTGTGGCTGGAAGCAGCTTGTCCCTTCCTGCCCGCACAGTGATGAAAGACAGCTAACACCTCCAGGCTTCTGCTGGCCACAGACATAACCCAGCCGCCTCTGGCTACAGTGCGGGCAAGAAGGGGTTAAACTCTAAGGATGCATTGTGCACAAAGGGCCCAGGGAACCTGACTGCAGGGGGCTTCAGCGAACCCAGCCAGAGAGGTGGCCCAGCAGGGGAGGGTGCCTAGGGGACAGAGCAGCTCCACTGTCCCTGGGGGCAGGGTGGGTGGAGGGTGAAGAGGGTGCTAAGCTCCTGCCTGGGGAGGGTTGTTATGGAGCCTGCAGGGTCGGGGCATGAACAGGCTGGAAACTGCTTCCCCCCCACTCCAGAGTTTAGTTGAAGGGCAGAGAGGCTTCCGCGTGCCAGCACTGGGCGGGGCTTTGGCACATGCAGGGCTTGGCTCCTCCTGGCCAGCGCCCCAGGTCAGAGGGTCGACCCAGCCAGAGGCAGTGGGGGAAGGAAGGAGCTGAGTGCTCCAACAAGGGGCTGGTTCTCCGCACAGCACTGGGAATGGGATGGGATATGGAGGAGGAGCAGCAGGGCTGTGGGGGTGAAGGGGCAAAGCAGGGAGAAGACAGCGAGAAGGGGAGGACATAAATGGCAGATCTGTGGGCAGCAAAGCTGACACTTAACAGGCTGCTGCCTGGCACCTACCCACACTCACCAGCCACTGCAGCGCGCAGCCAGTGCCGGCAGGAAATGGGGTGGAGGGTGGGGCCCTGCTGGCCTAGAGCTTAACTATTTCTTCAGTTCCAATTAGTGATTTTAGGTGTTAGACTACAACGAATCTGTAATTCAACTCTTATGTAGGTTTACTTTAATTACACAACCTTTTTGGACAATTGTTCCCTGGAACATTATAAAACAAATGCTAATCACAGGCCTAAAGAGAAATGGCTATTTGAAAGCACTAAACAACGCTACAGACATCAGTTTATTTTTATAGCCCATCTTTTACATAACTGTGATTAACTCAACAGTTTAATTAAATGGGAAAGCCACGATTTGTACTTCGCTATCATGGGACTGCTTCACAGATGGCACCATACAACTCAAAAGTATACGGAAAGTGTTCATAGAATATCAGTGTTGGAAGGGACCTCAGGAGATCATCTAGTCCAACCCCTGCTCAAAGCAGTATAAATCCCCAGACAGTTTTTTTTAAACCCCAGTTCCCTAAATGGCCCCCTCAACGATTGAACTCACAACCCTGGGTTTAACAGGCCAATGCTCAAACCAAGTGGATCAATTACAATGCACACGTACCTTTTAAAAAGTCAAAGTAAAACATATGTAGTAATAAAAGTTTTAAGGTAAAGATGTTTTGAGGATTATGGGCATTCATATTGACTATCTGTAATATTAAAACATATGAACAACAATCCAAGTAAGAGCCTAAATGAGTGATGCTCACCAGTTATCTTCCTACATGTCAGTATTTAAATAAGTAGGTCAGTTTTCAGACTGCTACACAATATACATTTCCAAAGAAGCCTGTACAAACAAAAGTACATCTATATCTGCACCATGTAAAACTGAGTGGAAAATATGTGGACTTACAAATCTAGGTCCGCAAGCAGAATTTCCTGAAATAATGCATAAATGCAACAGACTTTCTGGACAGGCACCTCTAGATGCCCAAATGATAGAGCTAAGAAAAATTAAATAGGGATGAAATAAATGAGTTGGCCCATATTAAATGACTCCTTAGTAGTTTGGATTAGCACAAGGAAGATCTCTGCAAGGAGCAGTGAGTAGGAAAACAATAAGAGAATAAGGGGCAAACTGACTCCTAGAAATAGCCAGTGCTAGCTAGCAGTGGCTAAAAGGGTAAGTTATTGACCTGTAACTGAAGGTTCTTTGAGATTTGTGGTCCCACTGTAGCTTATACATGTGCACTATGTGCCCAGAGCCGGAGAATTTGAAAGTCATGTCTGGTGGTCTTTCCGTGCACCCTGGCTCATGCTGTGTCTCCATCCCACAGGATAAAGGGTGGGGCGGATTGACTGCCTCTACAGTTCCTTCTCTACCACAAATCAGATGGAGCTGAAGCAGACGGGAAGGAGAACATAAGAACATAAGTCATCTCTCTGCTGCCATCCGTCTCCACCCTCTGACAAACAGAGGCTAGGGACACCATTCCTTACCCATCCTGGCTAATAGCCATTAATGGACTTAACCTCCATGAATTTATCTAGTTCTCTTTTAAACCATTATAGTCCTAGCCTTCACAACCTCCTCAGGCAAGGAGTTCCACAGGTTGACTGCGCGCTGTGTGAAGAACTTCCTTTTATTTGTTTTAAACCTGCTGCCCGTTAATTTCATTTGGTGGCCCCTAGTTCTTATATTATGGGAACAAGTAAACAATGTTTCCTTATTCACTTTCTCCACACCACTCATGATTTTATATACCTCTAACATATCCCCCCTTAGTCTCCTCTTTTCCAAGCTGAAAATTCCTAGCCTTTTAAATCTCTCCTCATATGGGACCCATTCCAAACCCCTAATCATTTTAGTTGCCCTTCTCTGAACCTTTTCTAATGCCAGTATATCTTTTTTGAGATGAGGAGACCACATCTGTACGCAGTATTCAAGATGTGAGCATACTATGGATTTATATAAGGGCAATAATATATTCTCTGTCTTATTCTCTATCCCCTTTTTAATGATTCCTAACATCCTGTTTCCTTTTTTGACTGCCGCTGCACACTGCGTGGATGTCTTCAGAGAACTATCCATGATGATGCCAAGATCTTTTTCCTGATTTGCTGTAGCTAAATTAGCCCCCATCATATTGTATGTATAGTTGGGGTTATTTTTTTCCAATGTGCATTACTTTACATTTAGCCACATTAAATTTCATTTGCCATTTTTTTGCCCAATCACTTAGTTTTATGAGATCTTTTTGAAGTTCTTCACAGTCTACTTTGGTCTTAACTATCTGGAGCAGTTTAGTATCGTCTGCAAACTTTGCCACCTCACTGTTTACCCCTTTCTCTAGATCATTTATGAATAAGTTGAATAGGATTGGTCCGAGGACTGACCCTTGGGGAACACAACTAGTTACCCCTCTCCATTCTGAAAATTTACCATTTATTCCTACCCTTTGTTCCCTGTCTTTTAACCAGTTCTCAATCCATGAAAGGATTTTCCCTCTTATCCCATGACAACTTAATTTACGTAAGAGCCTTTGGTGAGGGACCTGGTCAAAGGCTTTCTGGAAATCTAAGTACACTATGTCCACTGGATCCCCCTTGTCCACATGTTTGTTGACCCTTTCAAAGAACTCTAATAGATTAGTAAGACATGATTTCCCTTTACAGAAACCATTTTGACTTTTGGCCAACAATTTATGTTCTTCTAGGTGTCTGACAATTTTATTCTTTACTATTGTTTCAACTAATTTGCCCAGTACTGACATTAGACTTACCGGTCTGTAATTGCCGGGATCACCTCTAGAGCCCTTTTTAAAATACTGGTGTTACATTAGCTATCTTCCAGTCATTGGGAACAGAAGCTGATTTAAAGGACAGGTTACAAACCATAGTTAATAGTTCTGCAATTTCACATTTCAGTTCTTTCAGAACTCTTGGGTGAATGCTATCTGGTCTCGGTGACTTGTTACTGTTAAGTTTATCAATTAATTCCAAAACCTCCTCTAATGACGCTTCAATATGTGATAATTCCTCAGATTTGTCACCTAAAAAGGACGGCTCGGGTTTGGGAATCTCCCTAACATCCTCAGCCAGGAACACTGAAGCAAAGAATTAATTTAGTTTCTTTGTAATGACTTTATCGTCTTTAAGTGCTCCTTTGTATCTTGATTGTCCAGGGGGCCCCACTGTTTATTTAGCAGGCTTCCTATTTCTGATGTACTTAAAAAACATTTTGTTATTACCTTTTGAGTTTTTGGCTAGCTGTTCTTCAAACTCCTTTTTGGCTTTTCTTATTACATTTTTACACTTAATTTGGCAATGTTTATGCTCCTTTCTATTTACCTCACTAGGATTTGACTTCCACTTCTTAAAAGATGCCTTTTTATCTCTCACTGCTTCTTTTACTTGGTTGTTAAGCCACAGTGGCTCTTTTTTAGTTCTTTTACTGTGTTTTTTAATTTGGGGTATACATTTAAGTTGCGCCTCTATTATGGTGTTTTTGAAAAGTGTTCACTCTACTCACTGTACCTTTTAATTTCTGTTTAACTAACCTCCTCATTTTTGCATAGTTCCCCTTTCTGAAATTAAATGCCATAGTGTTGGGCTGCTGAGGTGTTCTTCCCACCACAAGAATGTTAAATGGTTATTATATTATGGTCACTATTTCCAAGAGGTCCTGTTATAGTTACCTCTTGGACCAGATCCTGTGCTCCACTCAGGACTAAATCGAGAATTGCCTCTCCCCTTGTGGGTTCCTGTACCAGCTGCTCCAAGAAGCAGTCATTTAAAGTATTGAGAAATTTTGTCTCTGCCTTTCATCCTGAGGTGACATGTACCCAGTCAATATGGGGTTAATTGAAATCCCCACACTATTATTGAGTTCTTTATTTTGATAGCCTCTCTAATCTCCCTTAGCATTTCATAGTCACTATCACTGTCCTGGTCAGATGGTCAATAATAGATCCCTACTGTTATATTCTTATTAGAGCATGGAATTACTATCCATAGAGATTCTATGGAACATGTGGATTCATTTAAGATTTTTACTTCATTTGATTCTACATTTTCTTTCACATATAGTGCCACTCCCCCTCCACCCCCGCCTGACCTGTTCTGTCCTTCCGATATATTTTGTACCCCAGAATGATTGTGTCCTATTGATTGTCCTCACTCCACCAGGTTTCTGGTATGCCTATTATATCAATATCCTCCTTTAACACGAGGCACTCTAGTTCACCCATCTTATTATTTAGGAGGGCGGATAGTAGACTACAGATTGAAACCACACATCTCAAAGACCCTCCAGTTTCAGGCCAGTAACTTCCTTTTCTTCTTTGAGCGATGTCCCTATTGTATCCCACCGTGGGTGACTGACAAGCAATACCTAAGTAGGAGGAGGGCACGAGGATGTAGACTGTAGGGCTGAGCGGAGGACTGCCATCCCAAAGGCGGCATCAGCAGAGGAGTCCCGTACCGGGACATGTTTTGCAAACATGTGAATGGAGCCCCACGTGGCTGTCTTACAGATGTCAAGGAGGGGAACATCCTTAAGTGATGCCATAGTTGTAGTTTGTGCTCTGGTGGAACGAGCTCTTTCCCCATTTGAGGGAGTGGGGGGTTCGATAGCTGATAGCAGAGTAGAATGCAGCCAGAGATCCATTTGGAGATCCTATAGGTCAGTGGTTCTTAACCTATTTACCATTGTGGGCCGCATATACAGCTATCTATGTGTTATATGGGCTGCATCCACACACTATATATACACACTACCTGTACATCTAAAAAAACATAAGGTTTAGTATTTCTTATATGACAGCAATACGATTCAAATCAATATAGTACCTTTCATTTCAACATGGGCATATGTCTACCAAGAGCATTTTAAATTAGCAGAATAAGTGAAAACATAACTGTTACAATTAATTAATTTACGGTAAGGGTGGCATTGCATGGTATATTGCACCTACTGCTCTAGGTGGAGATGATATGCCCCCTAATTCTTTCTGCTATAGCAACAAATAGTCTTGTGGATTTCCTGATTGGTTTTGTTCTTTTCAGGTAAAAGACTAAGACCCGCTGAACATCGAAGGAATGGAGTCTTCATTTTTCTGCAGATGCATGCAGTTTTGGGAAGAATACTGGTAAGTGAATGGATTAGTTAAGGTGAAATCCTGAAAATACTTTAGGGGTGAATTTGGGATGTAGAAGCAAAGAAACCTTGTTCTTATGGAATGTAGTGTAAGGAGGCTCTGCCATCATTTCTCCATACTTGCCAACCAACCCTTCTAGCTGAGGTGATGGCTACAAGGAAAGTGATCTTCTAGGAAAAGAGAGACATGGAGCAAGAAGCTAAAGGTTCAAAGGGTGGTCCTTTGAATACCAAGAGAACAAGGTTTAAGTACAGCTGGGAAGTAGTCTTCTGAATAGGTGGGAAGGTTCTTATTAGTCCTTTCCAAAATCTATTGTCAGTGGATGTGCAAAGACCGAATAGTTCTAAGAAGGGGATGGTATGCACTGATTGCTGCCAAGCAGAATCACAAGGAGCTGATGGGCAATCCTAATGTCTTCAGAGAGAGGATATAGTCCAGATGAGAGGAATATCTGCAGTTTTTGGGAGAATGCCTCTTTGATGTGCCCAAGAAACAAAACGCCTCCATTTAGCTATGTAACATCTTTTAGCAGAGTCCTTTCTACTATTAGAAAAGATGTCTCACATGGTTGTGGAGTATGAACATTCTAAGAAGGATGCCCATCCAAATACCAATCCCTGAGGTGGAGTGAATGTGGATTGGGGTGCTTGATCTTGCCGTTCCACTGAGTCAGGAGTTTGGGAAACATTGGGAGGATGATAGGTGGGTTGGGTGACATGCATAGGAGGTTGGGAAACCAAAACTACCTGGAACAGAAGTGGGCAATCAGGATGACTCTGTCCTGCTGGATTTTGTGTAGAACTCATGGCAGGAGCGGTAGCGGACGGAAGGTATAGTTGAACTGATCTGATCAAGGAAGAAGCAGAGTGTCGCCCTGGGAGTGGTGACCTAGGGCTCCTCTGGAGCAATATGTGAGGCATTTCCTGTTTTCTTGAGAGGTGAACAGATCCCTAATTGGGGTTCCTCATAGAGTGAAAGTATTGCATGATACCAAGTCATAGAGCTCCCATTTGTGGTTGACTGCAAAATATCTGTTACATCTGCAACCATACTTTGCTTCCCTGGAAGGGAGGCTGCTGACAGGATGATTCAATTGCTGATGCACCAGTTCCACAGGCTGACCACTTCTGCTCACAGGAAGATGGATCTTGCTCCTTCCTGCTTGTTGATGCAGAAGACAGTCATAACATTGCCTGACATTATAAGGACATGGCGAGTATGGATGAATGGAAGAAACGTCTTGCAACTCCAGGATATTGGTATGCATCCTGGATTCCCAAGGTGTCCAGGTACCTAATGCTATTTGGATTTTCGTGTGGACTCCCCAACTTAATAGGGATGCATTTGTTGTGACACTGTGTACCTCAGAATAGCAACCAGGAACCCCATGTTCACCACTGCGATATGATTATGATGTGAGGCATCATTTAATAAGTCTTGATTTGTTGAACATTAATATCCTGTTGAATTATGTGTGTTACCATTGAATCTGAAGTTATGAAGTTTTGCTATGTGTGTGTTACTAAAATATGTTGTCAGGTTGGGAAACATCCACAGTCAGCCTTTCAGTGGCAACAAAGGAGCATCCAGTAAGACAGATTTACATCAGGACCAACCAGACGTGTTTATGGGCCATTAAGGGGAATCCACTCTCCCAATGGCCATCCCAGAGACTCCTCAGAGACGGCATGTATGCAATGAAGGTGGCCTAATCCACGTCACAGCAAGGATCTTTTTAGCAGCTGCAAGAAAGTATAAAAAGGGACAGGGACATCATCACTGGGACTCTCTCCTCCCTATCTCAAAGGGAATACAGCCTGTGTATTAAGGACTCTGAGCTGCCTGTCACATCTATTAGGGCGAGAATAGCTCTGAGTCAAATCTTGCTTAGTCTGTTAAAGTTAGAATTTAGACTGCGTTTCTATTTTTTTTTAACCAATTTTTATTTCTATGCCTGCTACTTATAATCACTTAAAATCTATCTTTCTGTAGTTAATAAATCTGTTTTATATTTTACCTAAAACAATGTGGATTTGGTTGACGTGCTTGGGGAATTTCAGATGAAGTTAACAAGAGCCACTACCCTTTGTCAGAGTGGCGAACTAATTAATGAGCTTGCACTGTCCAAGGGAGTCTTGAGCAGTGTAAAACAGTATAGTTCTGGGTGCATGGCTGGGGGCTGGGGAGATTAGCCAGTGCCTCTTTCTGTATGATTCATGAGCGGTTTAGAGACCATTAATACAATTTAGCTGGATGTGAGTCTCCACATGCTTATGGCTGAGTGTTCACGGTGCCTGGAGGGGTTTGCTGTTTGTCACTGGCATAGCATTGTGAGAGACAGCCCAAGCTGGAGAGTTAAGGGGCATAGTCGGTCCCATAGTTCCAGTTTGTACCCTGGGGATCCCTTCACATTTGTAATAATGGTTCTTTCCAGAGAAGAAGGGATAATGGGGATGCCTACATATATCGGGCAAGTATTTGTCCATTTGTAGCAGGAAAGACACTACCTTGGTTATTATAATGAGGTTCGTGTAATGGCGGTTTTGAGAGTATACTGACCGCAGCCACATTTGAAGGCAATGAAGGTGGAGCCTTGCAAACAGGGTGGCCTAGGTGCCTGAGGCCATATGACCTAAGAGAAAGACATATGTTGACTGGTTTTCAAGGGTTGTTTGTGATCTGAGCTATGATATTTTTCATGGGCTGGAATCTGTCCTGGGGCAGGTATGTTCTTTCAGTGATAGAATTCAAGGTGACTGTGATGAAGTTCTGAGATTGTATGGGGTTAAGAACAGATTTTTCTGTTTACTCTGACTCCCAGTGAGAAAAGAAGGTGCAGCATCACAGAAGTTGGCACATAGGTTTCCTGGTGGGACTTGGCGACAAGGAGCCAGTCATTGAGATAGTGGAAGATAATGAGACAACATTGTCTGATATGAGCTGCTAGTACCAAGAATACATTGGTATAGAATCTGAGGGAGGTCTCTATTCAGAAAGGGAACACTATGTGCTGAAAATGGTCAGAGCCCACCATAATCTGAGGAAGCATCCGTGAGTGTGATGAACATCTATGTGAAAGTAGGCATCTTTCATGTTGAGAGCTATAAACTACATGCCCTTTTCTAAAGATGGGATTATAGATGCGAATGTGAACATGCAAAATCTGAGCTTGCGAATGAAGCAGTTTTGATGGCAAAGGTCGAGGATTGGTCTCCAACTGCTCTTCTTTTTGGGTACCAGGAAATAAGTCAAGTAAAACCCACTGACTTGGTATTGAGGAAGGATGTATTGTATAGCTCCTTGCTGTAATAGGGAATTCACCTCTTGTTTGAGGATATGCTTGTGAGAGCAGTCCCCAAAGGTTCACTGGATGGTTAGGAATCTCCCAATGAAGAGAATGCTGATTCCGGTTCCAGTAGTAATACCGTCAGTGCCGTTGGAGGGGACTTGTATTCTCTGTATGGAACGGGCAACAAACTCCATCCAGAGAAAATGCTTTGTGGAGTGGCAACGGATTCAGATCTCCCTGGTGTAAAAGCGGTTCTACTTGTTCAAACCCCTGGAGCTGAAGAGGAAGAGGGTGCCTGAAGCTTATAGCAATTGGACTTGTCAATGCCAATGGATCCTGGGGTTTGGAGGTGCTGAGGATGATGGTACTGACAGATCACAGTCTTGTACTGATGTAGCCCAGTGCTTATGGGCTTTCTTGTTGTGCCTCTGGGACTTAGGATATGCTAAGTCCTCACAGGCCAAGCTGATGGGCTTGCTTAGAGCCGAATCTGACTTCTTTGAGTGGATTTAGAGGAAGACTTGGGGTACGACTACACTACCCGCCGGATTGGCAGGTAGTGATCGATCTATCGGGGATCGATTTATCACGTCTACACTACAC